TTCCCAGGGGATGAAGGGCACATCCAAATTCCCTGCCTGTTCCTAAAAATGGCCAAAGGGATGGACATTTAGGGAACAGGCATCCCCAGGGCTGTTAGGGACTGACCTCAAGGACATGAGAGTGTTGTTCAGCTAGAAATCAGGAATATCCCATGGATGAGAAATCCTGGCACAGCCTGAGAGAACAGCTTGGCACAGGGAGAATTTACTTCTTTTGCCATAGGTTTGATCCTGAGGGCTCTGCCAGAATCCTCTGGGTTCTCTGTGGTGGAAATGAAACCACCCTCTGACAAAGAACAGTAGGAGCCTTGGAGCTCAGCAGCTTGATTTTAATATGCACCCAAAGTAAGGTAAATGCATGAAAACCACCCTAAAATCAAGCCCAGCTGAAAAAAATTCCCCATAACTCAGGAAAAACTTCCTTCTCTTGTCCTGGTCCTGTCCCCATGGAAGCCAGACCTTCTTCAAAGCCCCCCCAGCAAATGTGGGACCCCCTCCCATTCCCCAGGTGGGGCTGGAGGATAACAGGCCCAGGATGGGACCAGCCCCAGCCCTGGAGCAGCTGGGTTCTCTCACAGGAGGTGGAAGGGAGGCTGTAGAAGGAGCAGAGGGTTGATATCACATTTACACCGAGCTCTCTATGTCTACGTTCACACTCACATGTTCATAGTGCCTGTATCTACACATGGACACACACACACCACTATGCATAGATCTGCCTCCTGCCACTATTTATAAGGGTTTGATTAATCAGACAAACAAATTTGCCAACAGTGCTCTTCCTCAATTAATCAGAAAAACAAATTTGCCAACAGTGCTTTTCCTCAATTGATCAGAAAAACAAGTTTGCCGACGCCGATTGCCAAAAATTCAGCAAGTAAAGGAGCCTCAACCCTTTACACTTTTGTTTTCCTGGTTGCATAAAGGCACTTTCTGATGATGTGAAGCAGCAGTTTGTTAAAAACCCTGTAACTGCAACAATTCCCATCGCGTCTGTAGCAAGTGCTACACAGGCACCAGTAGGATGCAATGTCACTGAGGGTTTGGAGCAGAGTCGGCGCTGGGGACGACTCCCAGTCAGGGCGAGAGGGACT